GAGCATCAGTCTCTGCTCTTCAGCACTTAATCTGTGTAGTTGCACAGCATAAGTCTATTAATGACCAGCAAACAAGAAAGAATTCAATGAGGGGCTTCTGGACAAAGGATGTGGTCTCTCCTCTCCTTCCTTTTTTCTTCCTGCTGGTCTATGACAAGCATCAACAGAGGATGAGATGTCAGGGTTCATTCTCATCCCTGCCCAGTTGGCTCTTTATGTTCACTCTTGTTAAGTACAGAAACTCTACACATGGTGAGAAATTAAAACCTCCAAACTGATCACAGTGAAGTCTTCTTTGTGACAGTTATGCTGCATTAACCAGTGAATCTCAAAAGCTTGAATTTTCAACATGAATTAAAAGTAAATGTTACAAGAATCAACACATATACAGCATGGCTTGAAAAATAACTTGGAAATGTGTCCAGTTACAATTGGTCTCAAAAATGCAATGCATACAATGCATGACTTTTGATTCAGAAGGTATGATGGCGTGTTTCCTACAGCTAAAAGCATGTTAGATTAAAGACTTTTTAATGCCAGTTGGAATGAATTTTAAGATCAATTTTACAATAACTTATTAAAAAAACAAACACATGAACTGACATCAATTACTTAAGGTTAGGGATGATTTGGCTACATTGTTTATCACGTCAGACATGGCATTTTTGTCTTGTGGTGGAGACGGGGGTAGAGCAGAACTGGAAAATACCAGGTGTTGGCAAGATTTTTGGGGCGATTTTGTGTTTGTCACTCTGCATGTGGGATTCCACTGCCTTGATTCCCATTGTGCCGAGTCTGAAAGGCTTTTTGCACGAAGTATACCAAGCCTAACACGCATTGCCCTGTAGAAGTATCAACCATGCTGCAAAATCTCAAATAAATACTCCATTTCTGTTGAATTTGCGCTTCCTCGTGCTGTCCAGGCTACAGTGACAGCTAGCTAGCAGACAGTGGATCCTCTGTTCTGTGTTCTGAGCATCTAGGCCAGAGACAAAATATGAGTGTTGTTTGTTCCACAATCCCGATCTGCTTGATGTTCATGCACGTGGCATTTGGCAATTTATTTAAAAAATAATAGATGTAACCAATTTTTTGAGATTTTACAATGCAACACTAGAAACAAATGATTCATTAAATCCTATGCCCATTGCTGTAACATTTTTAAGACTTTTTAAGACATTTTAATACCAATCTTATTTTTAGATTAATGAATTTAATGCCTTTTAAGACCTTTTAAGGATCTACCGGAACCCTGTGATGTTTTTACTCAACCACAACCACAAAAACCTCATGGTTGTTCTGTGTACTTATTAACTTAAGGATCCATTGACTGTAATTATGTTTGCAGTCTCATAGCAGCACTGTCAGGTGGTTTAATTATAGTGAATTTCAGAGTGAACTAGGGCTGGGCAATATGGGGAAACTGCAACAATATTGTAGGGTTGACTATTGGTGCTTACATAAAATATTTACACAATGAGATGTGATGTGGTTACAATGACTAAGCGCATAAAGGCAAATCATAGAACAATTAAAACAGTTGAGAAAAGGTGAGAAAATGACAACATTGTAATGTAATGCAGCCAGGAGACCAGCAAAGATATGATATCCAAAATCGAAGACCATATATGGTTTCATGTAACGATATCAATATAAGACTGATATATTGGCGAGCCCAGAGTGAACAAGTGTCAACTTCCTTTTTTATATTAAAATTTAACTTAAATTTCTGTAAACATTCATCATCCTTAAACTTTTCCATTTCACATATACACAGTCAAACATTTCCATTAGTAGTGGGAGCTTGTAAAACAGCATTTAGACTTCTGAGGGACATTAAAACACAACAACTAAGACTGAATGGACTTCTTTTGACCCAACCCATTGACTTAATGGCAGGTGACAGTCTGAGACAGTTCACAGTCATCAAGTGAACAATTTATTTACGACAATACATCACTGGGCCATTAAATGGAAAAATAAAGCGTGCAAAGACATCATCTTAACTCTCCGATAACAAATTCAATCCAGTGACTGTTTTAAAGTGTTTCAGTGTGGTGACGTGTCTTAGGCCCAGCTGAGCTGAGGCCAGCAGTCTCAACACTGTAGTGTTAAAGAGTCGAGCTGACAAAAAACCCATAAGCCCTCACTTTAGATCCACTGTAGAACCACTGTCTGCTAGCGTCTGCTGTTTAGGACCTCTCTCTCCCTCCTTCTCCACTGAACCTCACTCACCTCATCTCAGACTTTTGACACCCCCGTCTTTGCTCACACAAACGCAAACACACCCAGATATCTGCGCGCACACACACACATACACACCTACAGGTGCAGGCAATCGTACAGATGCACACATGCACACCTTGGTCAAAGGCGCAGATCAGAGAGAGACAGAGAATTGTGGGTAACAGACTTAGCTAAAGTGGCTTATGGGGCCCGGCCAAACCACACCAGGCAAATCCAATTCAACAACCTCCCTGTCCATAGGGAACGAGAGAGGGAGAGAGGAAGAGAGGAGAGTTTGCATTTTACTGAAAAGGCTTTCGTGTCAAGTGAATACTTCACAGAAATGAGAGAGAGAATGAGAAACAGGGGGTTCTGAGTTTCTTTCTCTCCAGAGATTAAGGATGAAAGAGGGAGAAAAGAGAAGGAAAAAACAGAGGGGGAAATGAGGGATGAGTGTTGGCCTTTGCTCTCCTACGAAGTTTATTTCTCTCATGTGTATTGGCTGCTTATCACACCAACATGTTTAAATATAAAAGCAGCATGTACAGGCACTGTGACCCTTTCATTTCCTCACATGACAAAAGACAACCTCACTCACACAGTTATCTTTTCTACACATTTCTTAAATAATTTACTCCCTCATTTATTCCTTCACATATTCAGTCATTATTCATTCTTTGGACTGTACGCTGCGCATCACATGATTGATCCTTTCAGCGTTTCATCTCTTCATTGTGTTTATTAATCCTCTCACTCAGTCGCTGCTTCTTTCGCTGCTTTCATCAGTTCAATTCACTGATTCTTTCACCTGTTAATTCGCCAACTTTCACCTTCTCCTTCATCTATTATTCATTTATGTGCTCACTCATTCTGTTATTCATCTAATCATTCATTCACCCCCTCTGACCCAGCCTCCACCTCTTCTTCTTGTTCTCTCATCATGTCGTCCACTTTAATTTCTTAAAGGACCAACAGAGAAATTGACCCCCCCCCCCCCCCCAAAAAAACAGAGGCCAGCAGTTATATGTCACCTGTCAAAGCCGCCAGGAGCAGCTCTCATTAAAACCTCAACCGTTTTTCTCCTCCTGACACCTACTTAAGGTGATAGCCTGAATTACCCCTGCACGGCTCGGCACGGCTCAGCATACACACCTACCCCTCATCTGTCATTTGAAATTTCCGCCCTGGTGGATTAAGGCGGTGGGGATGGGGGACAGAAGGGAGCCACTGCCACTGTCACCCTCTGAGCACTTAAACATGTAGACACACTTCAGTACACGCATAATGGTTTGTGTTCAAACAGCGACCAACAAGTCACACTACTAAGTTTTAAAAGTCCCACAGGTGGAAAGAAAAACTAAAGCTGGGTGACCTCTAACCTGTCGAGTTGAACAAAAAAAATCTAATATATTGACAGAAGAACACTTCTGCTTTTCTTAAACTCATTTCGGTTTTGTACTCATTTTTATGTTTCATAAAGCTTTTACTGCGGGAACTTGATTATGAGTTCACTATGATGAGCAAATATCACAGATACAGCACATTAGGAATATTAGGAGCATTATAGTGAGATGAAAAAATACCATAAAGAGCGCTGCCCTTATTGATCACACTGCAAGTCACTAAAGCAATATAGGAGAGATCATAGGGCATTAAAGCACAGCATTAAGGCATGATAAGGCAGTTAAAGTGAGTAACTATTGATTGACAAACTCACTGCAAGTCCCTTTAGTGAGGCCAATTATAGGAATATTACTTCTATAAAGGATGCTTGTTTTTGGTGACAAACACATAATTAATTTTGAATTGAAGTTCAATCATCTCAAAAATGTCCCTTTTTTCTGCTCACGTCACCTCCAGTGAAGCCAAACTTTCTCCCTCAGCCAACTTGACTGTACTCCTGTTTTCCCAATGTGAGCCCCAGTCAGAGATCAATACCTCCTGATCGATAGATGACCATGAATATTCCATCCTAACCTGACCGAGAAGAGACTGAAGGAGAGGAGAGGAGCGAGGAGAGAAGGCAGATGGGATGAGGGTTGAGATGGATGGAGTGCCATGAATGAAAGAGGGAAAGATGAGGGAAGAGTGTGGCGCCTCTGTGAGACTGTGATGGATGCTAATGAGCCAGATATTCATGCATCCAATCCTGCGTGTGTTTTTACATTTTTTTGGATTATGTGCAAGTAAGTATTTTAATTAAACTCTCTGTTTATTTCTTTTAGCAGAGATACAGGGGGAAAGTGGATGTAAAATATATATGCACCTTCGCGTAAAGATCTGTAGTCTTCTAATTTTTCTTTAGATAATTTAACTTAGAATGCAGTTTCACTTGTTTGTGCAATTTCAAGCAAAGCATAATAAGTGACAAGAAAATTAGTAATTATTGAGGAGACAAGTTGATTGAATTTTAGACAAATGAAACAATCTGAGCACCTTGGCAGATTTCTTTTCTTAAAGAAATTACACTCTATAAGACACAAAGATTTGGGTGCAAGTCTTGCAGCTGCAAATTAACTTTCACACATGGATATATTTGTTGTGAGTTGTATGTTGAGTACAATAAATATAGAGTATGTGTAGTTTAATCTTTGTGCATACACCTAAAAAATCTGAGATGAAACTGAGATAAGAAATATAATGGTCTGTATATAAAACAAACTAAATCTATGGGGTTATACATGAGAAGAGTTGAAGCAAATGTTGTTAACTGGGTTTTATTCTTTGTGTAGGTGCACAGTGGTGACGGAAGGACCAGCAGAAAAGAGTCTTACCGGGGCTGGACCGCGGAGCCAGCGAGGACTTGAGTCTCCAGGCGCTGAAGTCGGACGCTGTTCTCTGAAAGACGAAGGGGACCGGCAGGGGGACAAACATGGTCCTCTGTCGACCTGGGGGTCGTTGTTTTTTATTTTAGTCTCACTTTTCTTCTTTTCTTATCCGTCGTGCTTCCGTCGTTCTTTGGCCTGTCTTCGTATGCTTTCCAGGTTTGTGGACAGCCGGTTGTAAAGATGCTTCGTGAGGGAAAAAAGACACTCAGTATTTGGCTTCTTCTTCTTCTTCCGTGGATCGAGTCCGTCTCAGCTGATTCACATTTCTCTATTATAGATTTGCGTGGTTGTGGGATACAGATAAATACTACAGCCCTGTTACTCGTGTCTTCTCAGAGTCAAGTAGTCCGGCACACACACACACACGTACACGCAGCGATGTGCAGGGCGCGCAGTGAAAGCTTTGGGAGAAAATGTAAAGCTACCGGCGGTTCTCCATACAGGCTACCTAACACAGGCTGCAGGTGACTGGACAGTAGAGGACCCTAACCCTAACCCGTGTGAATCTAGTGCAGCCGGTGCTCCCCTCTCAGCTGCTCTCCATTGGATGTAACGCAGACACAATTAGACTCCATTTATTGTGTCCAGACAGCTGTGCGTAAAGATCGCAGTGGCTCTCCGTCTCGGTCTCTCCTCCTCGGCGGGCTTTGCTTTGGTTTAGCTTGTGAAAAGATAGACGTCTCCTCCTGCGCTGTCATGAAAAGTCTCAAACAAACACTATCCAAGCGGCGGATCCTCCTCGGCACAGAGAAATGGGATAAAACTGTCCGTGTATCACTGGAGTTGCTTCTTTTTTGGTTCTCGTAAAGATTTGGTTAGTAGCTGGCTGGTCTGCTGAAGAACACAAGCACACAAAGCGACACGATAATAAAACGCAAAAGCATTATTTGGTTAAAAGATGGGAATAATCAAATAAAAAAGTAAGGCTACGCAGGCACCTCCTGTCTGACTTTCGCTCCTCCCTCTCCTCCCCTCGCTGTTTCTCCCTCTTTCTCTACCGCGGGTCACTAATTAAAGCAAAATCAATAGATAAATAAATGAATAAATCCATATCAATAAATACACCTGTCTTCTGCTTTCCTCCTCCACTGAAGCGAGAAAAAGAGGAGGGGAAAGCGATGCCCCCCTTTTCTATTTTACGCTGTAATGTCTTTTCTTTGGCTCTGCTCCGCCATCCGCCGGTGTGTATCTCTCGTCCTCTCTCTCTCTCCTCAGCCTTTCTCTCCGTGTGTGTATCCTACGTGTGTGTGCGCGCGTATCTGCGTCCCCTCAGTTTATTTTGGGAACCCCGGTGGTTTCGGTCCTTCACCGCGCAGCCTGAACGCACTCTGGCACGGCGATGCGCTCCGTCCGGGAGACAGACAGAGATACCCAGCCCCCCTCTTTTTTTTCTTCTTTTTTTTTACCCCGCTTTCCTTCCCTCCCCTCTCTACCACTACCCCCCTTTCTCCCCTAACCCCTCCACCCCATCACACTCACACATATGCACATATACACAAACATACACATGACCCCACTTTCTCTGTCCATTCATGTTTTGCGCAGATTTTTAACATTTACTGACACATTTACGTTTCTTATTTATATTAAAGTTACACATTGGCACTGATGTTAACATTATAAACACTAATTTAAAAGACTATACGGGAAATTTATTTTATTAAAGGATCTATTTTATGTTGAATTACTTTTTTGTTATAAATAAGCACACACATCACTCTCTCGCCCCTCTCTGATCACTACAATCCCGTACAAGACGAGCACAGATCCGGCCAATTGATCCTCTGATTACTTCATTATAATGAAGCCAATAATCACATCATCGCTGGCCTCTAAAAAATCGATCGCCTCTTCACAATGTGCGGGCATGAATTCAAAAGGGGGGGAACCTTTGATGTATATTTCAGCAGGTGGATCTCTCTCCCTCTCTCATATAGATTTACGTGGGTCTGGCCGACGCAAGGTCACCTGCACCACTCATCTAATGTATTTTTTTTTCCTGCACAGAGGTGAATAATCAAAGCCTGCAGAGCCATGGCTGTTAAATTAGTAATTATTTCGGGCTCGGGAAGGCTACGTGCGTGCGTGCGTAAAATGTGCGTAAAATGTCAGTTGAGCTGAATCTAAATTGAATGTTTTTCCTATTAAGGCTCGGTGAGAATGTTGGAGTTGCCGTGGTGTGTGTGTATGTGTGTGTGTGTGTGTGTGTGTCCGAGGTAAGGTGCCTCCCGGCAGTCAACTCTCCTCTCCTCTCTCCACAGTCTATACTCCACCCGGCTGTCAGACGCACCGCCCCAATCCTCGCTGCTGTGCATTTACACTCAAGATTATCGCCGACATGGATTTTTTTAAATAGAAAAATCTATACGCTAAATATCAGTCAATAAAAGAAAATCGACCAAGCCGCGCACACGTCTCTCTCGCCCTCTCTTTCCCTCTCTGTATACACTCCGAGGTGGGACTGACTTGTTAATAAGTTATCGATCAATTATGGCCCTCATATATAGAAAGGCCTCGGGCTCTTTGCCAATGCTAATGTCTATGAAGGGAGAGAAAGGAAACGTCAAATATAAACTATCTGCTACCCGGATAACACATCATCAGGAGCGTCCTGAGCTCTGACTTCACTGCTGCAGTACTCATACTGTGGCTAGTGATACTTCCACTACTGCCTGTACAACTGCATCTGATGGTGTCTCTACAGTCCTGCCACTGATAAAATACTTCTGTCATCACTAATGCTGCTACTATTACTGCTATTTGGACTACTTACACTGCACTAAATATTATAGTTTGCAAGATTTAAACTGCTACTATACTGGGGCTTGTACAGTTGGTACAACCACTAATCCTCCTCTACTAGTGACACTACAACCACTTTTATAAGTTTGTACAACTAATACTTACACTACTACTACTGGTACATTGACCCTTGCTGCTGCTGTGGCCTCTACTACAACTACAACCACTTTTTTAATATATGGCTTATTGGCTTATGGCTTTCTCCTTTAGTAATACCACAACCACTTCTAACACTTCTATTTCTATTACTACTGCATCTGGTATTAACCTTGCCAATGTAATTTCCTGTATTCTTACTTGTACTAATACTGTGACTACCACTGATGTGGCCTCCACTACAACTATTACTACTCTATTAGTACCTGTTAGTGCTAATAATGCTGCTATACCATGTATTACTACTGCTAGTAATACCACAACTACTACTGCTGATGTGAGCTGTACACCAAATAGTGCTACTCCTTTCATAATACTACAACCACCTTTCATAACCTCTATTTCTATAAATACATCTTCTAGTATTAATAATAGTACTAATAGTGCTACAACTGCTGCTACATCATCTGTTACTGCTATTAATACTGTGACTATCACTGCTGATTTGGCCCTGACGCCAACTAGTACTTCTACTTTGGTAATACTACCACTTTTACAACTTCTTTGTCCATAACTACTGCTTCTAGTATTAATAATAGTACTGCTGGCGCTACTACGGCTGCTATTTTCTGTATTTCTACTAGTAGTAATACTGTGACTACTACTGCTCCTACTACTACAGCACTTGTCCTTCTTCTTAAGCCTGTGTCCTACAATTTAGAGTATTTCCGTCACCCGCTGCAGCTTTTGATGTCATGTATGCATAGACACACGTCACATCACAAAGGACAACCCCCCCTCCCATTAAAAAAGCCCACTCCCCATTGACAGATGACATCCGTGTGTCCAACAAGCGAGAGCGGGAGGAAAAAGAAAAGGAGCAGAAGGAGGAGGGCAGGGAGAAGCCATATAAAGAAGCGACCGGTTGTCCCTCAAGAGCCCCCCTTTCCACATAAGGGCGAGCGCAGAGGAGCCCCGATCCAAACTCCTTCCAGACAAAAGCAATTATTTCTTGTAGAATATAGTGTGTTTTGTGCGTCCATCGCGGGAGGGGAGGGAGGTGTGCGTGGATTTGAAGGAGAGGTGAAAAATATGGCGCACGGCGGGCCTCATCAATAGCAATATGTTCTTTTTCCCTTCTGTTATATCTATCCTTTTATAACTACTCTGCAACCTGCTGCCGTTGCTTTGTCTGACATCGTGGGCTTATAGGCCATAGTGGACTTCTGATCATTTACACACACAAAAAAACACACACATGAACAGACAGCAGTGTAAAAGGAGCCAAAAATAGATTCTGACTGTTATCTTTTACACCAAACCTGTTGTTTCTGTATCCAGCCTTTAAACAAAACTGTTAAATGTTGGTATTTAATTGATAGTTATGATAAAAATGACTCTCATTGTGATTTATAATGAGGTGACTGATTCACACACTTACACACCACTCTGTCTCCAACTGAGACGGCTATATCCTTCAAAAGCATGAAGGTAAAAGATTCAAGTTTGTTGCAATGTATTTTTTATAAAGTAAAATATTTTTACAGTATATTAGTACTACAGTACCAAATGGTCTTCTGCATCATAGGCTTTATTAATTTTGCTAAAAAAAAAAAGAAATACAAATGTATCTTGAGAAAAACAGAATCTGACTGAGTGAATGCAACCTTTTCAATACAGGAAGTCTATTGCCGAATTAGATCTTATTGCTCTCTGTCTGTCTGCTCTGTGTGTGCGCGCATGTGTGTGTGTGTGTGAGAGAGAGAGACAGACAGACAGAGAGAGAGAGAGTTCATTGTTAAATGGCAGTGTCATGTTGACAAACGAGTTGGTTGAATTAAATTCTCCCTCATCAATAACAAGAGGGGGCCAATCAATACCAGCTTACAATTATATCACCGCCTACTGCTTCGCTACTGCTGTAACCACACAAACACACAAACACACACGGACTAAGAGATAGCGCGAGCGAGGGAAGAATCATTACCTCGCTGTAACACAGGGCTTAATAAACACTAAAAATATTCACACACACACTGAGGAGGAGAGTTATTACTTTGGTGTTACATGGATTATTATAAATACACACACACACACACACACACACACACACGCTTAAATGCACACTTTTGCACACACAGAGGGAATCATTTATGAGACACTGACCCTAATAAACACACACATTATTTTTAGCATCTGACATCTATTTTCAGCATCCCTCTCTCTGTTTCTGTCCCTCTCATTCTCTGTCTATGTCTCTCTCCCTTTCCTCACGCAGCCTGACTAAGTAATCAATGTTGACAGATTGTCAATAGACCAGTGCGGGCCCTGCCAATACCTCTCCTACATATCCATTATTCCTCTTAAGGCCGCGGAGGACAAACACAGAAAAGAGTAAAACACGATGCTGTCGATACGCCACCTTGATGCGATCATTGAGGCAGATCAATGCTCTTGCTTACAGCTCATGAGCTCGCCTCCAGCTCGCTGGAAATCACAGTTAGCGTGGAAATTGGTTTGTGAATACGTATTTTCTCTCGCTGGATGTCTTCCCGTGTTCTTATCTTCATAGGCTGGGGATTTTTTTCATGTATATTCTCTTTTATTTCACGCATAATTTTATTTCGACTTTGAAGATATCTTTTTTTTCCTTCTCTGAATTTACCGGTGTTCGTATTTCACACATGTTCTGCATCCTGTCTCATCCTGGATTGGTTGTAATGGATTTAAGATGTAAAATGCAGGACAGCACAGAAGTTTGGGAGGGGGGGCAAATGCAATATTGCCTTCTTGCTGTCATTCTTGCTATCAGGTCCACACGCAATCCTGTATTCCCCACACACACACACACACACACACACATACACACACTGATTCATGTACACACACAGACACAAATTTATGTACACGCTTAGCAGCACACACATGCAAACACACCGTAACATGCAAGACAGCACGGAAACACCAGAGTGACACTCATGCAAGATATTCACGTACATGCAAACACACCGTAACATGCATGGATGCACGAAAAGTAGACAAACACACACACACACACACTTAGCCTCTGGTTCTCGTGCTCAGAGAGGCCCAAACAGCTTAGCTTAGCACAAATGCAGCATCAAGGCTCGAGGTAATGCCAATGACATGGATGGAGCTTTCCAGCCCATGCAGCCTGGAGAGTGTGTGTGTGTGTGTGTGTGTGTGTGTGTGTGTGTGTGCATGTGTCTGTGTGTGTGCGTGTGTTCATATGTGTGTCTGTTGCAGTCGTGGGGGGAGATGAGAGCCTTAAACACTGAGAGGATCAGACCAGGCTCTCCTGGACACCATGGAATACGATCAAGAGGAAAGAGTGTGTGTGTGTGTGTGTGTGTGTGTGTGTTTGATGGCAAGACATAACTGCAAAAAACACTACAAATATAAGAACAGAGAGGTGTTTAGAATGTCGTCTAAAACAAATTTTAAAAATCAAAATGGGGCGTCGGTGGCTTAGTGGATGGAGCAGGCGCCCCATGTACAAGGCTGTTGCTGCATCTCATCCCTCTCTCTCTCTCTCTCCCCCTTTCATGTTTACCTGTCCATTAAAGGCAAAATGGCCCAAAAAAAATATCTTAAAAATAAATAAATAAATAAAATAAAAACTTCATACTTTCTTTAGGGCTGTACCCAACTCAGAATTTTGTCAATCAATTCAGATTTGGCTGTTCCTTAC